TGTAAAATAAATTCTCCCTTCCTCTCTGTCCCCCATTTCTGTGTTAGACTGTTACTTGAAAGAAAGACCAGTGCCTTTTAAATATTTTTAAGTGGATCACGACTTTAATTTTTCCAAACTTGGAGATATTTTCACCTGTCTCATGAAGTGAAGCATTGGAGAAGTATTTCAAAATCCTAACACATGCCATGCACTATCCCAGGAGCTATGGATCCAAAAGCAATAAGAAATTTCCTTTTTCTTTAAGTGCCACCTCTTCCACTTCTATGTTATGGTGTGCATATCTGTGAGGTGTTTTGTGTGTGTTTGTTGTTGTTGTTTTGTCATTTTTTCCTCTTAAATAGGGCTAATACACATAAAGTGCACAAATTAAGTCTACGATTCTATAGTACATTCACAATGTTGCGCTACCATCGCCTCTATCTAGTTCCAGAATATTTTATCTTCCCCAAAAGGAAATTCTGCAGTAGCGACTTCACTGCCCCTCCCACCTAGTCCTTGGCAACCTCTACTCTGCTTCCTGTCTCTATGTGTTGGCCTCTCCTGAATGTATCATACATATATAAATAGAATCATTCAGTTGTGAACTCTTGTGTCTGACGTCTTCCACACAGCACAATGTTTTCAAGGTTCATATGTGTTGGACATATCATTTTTTTCTTGTTTTTACTTAAAATTTGTTTTTTTATTTTTATGTAGCTGGTTGGTAGAGGAATCTCAACCCTGAACTTTGGTGCTATAACACTGTGCTCTAAGTAACTGAGCAACTGGTCAACGCTGAAATGCTATATTCTTGTTCTCATTGTTAAACAATTTTCAATTTTAGAAAATCTGTTTTTGTGTATGAGTGTAATTTAATCATCTTATTCTGTATGAAGACATTTTAAATTGGATCAAATAAGAATATATTACCATTTTATTTGTATTTTGAATATTAAACTTCATTACATGACAAGGATATAAATTACGGGCTTCATACATATCTCCTGACTGAATATAGGTAATTATAGTTTTGGAGTTTCTAATGTCAATACACCGGAACATGTATTGAATAAACCACGTAGGATTTTTATTTTATTTTCTTAGGAATTTTGGCATCATTCTTATTCAGTCTCTGCGAAACTTTTTAATTAGCAGAGTCGTTTGCAACCTATAGTTGTTGCTCCCATTTTGCAAATATGTCTGTAAAACTGCTACGAGGGAAAGGTGGATGGAGTTTTCTCCTGATTTATTTCAGAAAAGATCTCATATGACATTTCCCAAGTTGACTTCAAGATTTATTTGGAGGAGGGATTCAGTTACTTCATGTGATAAATCACGAGTTCAATTTTGAGGTAGGTTGAACTGAAATGTAAAAGATGGTAAATGGGCTACTCTAATTTACTGGACAGAAATTTAATTTAGATTTATAAAAGACTATGCTTTAAAACGTGAACAAGACAATGACTTAAAAAATACTAGTCTACTGTCTGCAAAAAAAAAAAAAAAAAATGAAGTCCCTTTTCAGTATATCTTTGTAGTTCACTGGAACTGAGTTTCAAGGTCATGTTTTCCTTTCAATGGAACGATGTTTTAATCTAGTATTAGCTGTTCCAGAAATTGGCCGTTTAATAACTGTACATGTATATTAATATTATGATACTTAATTTTTAGCAGAAACAATGGCATAAAACCTTCAATTATTTGCCAGCAGAAAATTTACGTAGAATTATCAATTACATTTTACATAGACATGAAGAAGCAAGGATAGTGATTACTATTAATTCAACATCCAGTGGTGTGTCTATGTGTATGCTTAACACAATTAGGTTCTCTTTAAGTTATGTCTATGTGAAGATAATATGTATGTACAAAGATAACGATAAACATTCGCATCTGTCTTTGCTGTACCTTTGATGTAAAAGGGACAATAAAAAATAGGTGATAAAATTTGTTTTACTTTTGAAGGACAGTAGTAGAGTCTTCAGGTCGGCGGATTAGCGGTAGAGCAGTTAACGCAATTTGTGATTGAATTACTACGTTTTGCTTCATAAGGCTCTGGTTGGTAGTTCGGTAGGGGCGGGGTCGAGGGAGTTGTCCAGGGCGGAGAAATGAATATTTTATTACAAAAGTTGAGATAACAAAGCCTCTGGCAGAAATAGGTTTGGAATA